AGAAGTGGATAATCCTATTGTTTGGGGTTTGTTTTGTTGTGACAGCTTTATTTCAATCCTTTGTTGCAACAAACTTATTTGCTCTCCTTCCCTATTAGTTCTCCTTCCAAGACATCTCTCTCCAGCTGTTTCTCTATTTCCAGTCATCTGGAATAATCACCCTGTGCCTGTACCAGGCACGCACCCAAGGTGGCACACACGCTCTCTTTACCATCTCCTCTTCTGCAGCAGCTGCACTGCTCTATCTCTCTTACCACCTCCTCGAGGTCCAACCCCTTCTCCTTCACCTATTCCATCCCTGGAGGAATAGGGGCACAGCCCTGCCACCCCAAAAACCCTTCTATTGACATCCTGCAGACTATGAAAAGTAAAATGCTGTATAATCTTATAAAAATAAGGCAAATAATATATTCAAATTAGTTTATTTACAAAGCAGCTGGCAAAAGAGCTTTCTTTTGCTGCTTTCTTTTGCTCAGCATGGCTCTTGCTGGCAGAGGGCAAATGCTGTGAGCAGCAGAGCTGTGCTCACAGCAGGCTGTGCTGAGGCTGCAGCCTTGGGAGCCCTCGGGAGGACACACTGCACCCCAGGGTTGGAGGCATGAGATTTTGGGCACAAGGACATCTGAAGGTGATGTGGTCTGATGTTTCCTTCCAGATGAGGACCTGTTTTCTCAGCCTGCCTGTTCCCTGAGCCATTCCCCATCAAACCTTCTCTGATGCATTCTCTCCCTCTTCTCCAGTCCCTGCAGGGTTCCATTGCACCGGGCAAGGAGCAAGCGTTGAAAGGTTCGTGCCACCCTCCCCCTGTGTCCCTTGAGCCCCTTGCCTGTCCCAGGAGGCTTCCTGGTGCCTCTGACTGCAGATCCGACTAAGATCCAGTCATGGCTGGAGATAAAATCCTGAAGTAGCTCCATAGGTGCTTTGTTGCTTTGTCACGGTGAGTTCTGCAAGGCCAAAGCCTGTAAACCTGTAYGTTTCTAGCCAAACCTGCTTATTTTATATCCCTTTAGGCCTGCTTATGTTTTATACTGTATTGACAATATTTAGATGCTGTATTAGCAACAAGTTTAGTCAAAATTATCCACATAATCASTGTCATACATCTCACACCTGACCAAGAGTCTTCTCTTTACTAGTCTGCCACAATCCCCAGTKTTATCTGGGCCAAAGTGCCACCAAGGTAAGGTATTTGCCATCAGACRSTCATCCATGATYATCATAAGGGTGTCATTGGCTTCATGATRYGGATTTAGGGTATTAGCTACCCAATTCCAGTGACAAGGGACGTGGTGGGATTTCAAGTAGTGGTTAAGGCTGGCTATAAAAGCTCCAGGTGCTTCACAGAGGTGGACAGARTTCAGTWCTCCATCCTGAAGAGCTTCTTGTGGGAGAAGAGAAAAACTGCACASRATCTCATGAAATTTGCACCATGCCTGGGTACAGAGCTCAGCATTCACAGATTTCTTCACATGAGACATTATTTTTTATGCTTTACTGATAAATAAAAGAGGTGGCCCAATACCACTCCTCATTCTTATCACTCTGTAGGTTCTTCAATTCATTCATTGAGTCCTTCAGAGTGAGTGAAATTCCATGCRATCATATGTAAAAGCATCCAACAGCTTCAAAAACTTCTTCGCAAAGAGCTTCCCAGTTTCAGTTCCCAGAAAGAACTTCAGGACCGAACTTTCCGACTTTTTCTGTCTTTTGCAGAATATTTGGATTTTTTAGTTTCTTCATGCTCAGAGGAATTCTCAAAGTAGGCACTAGAACTGGAGAAGAAACCATGCCACTTCAGCCATACAGGTACAGAAACAGGCAGTGGTTTTTTTGCTTTTTTTTTTTTTTTAAATAATAGATCTTCCTGCTTAACCTCTGTATTCCAGAACAGAAGGAAAATGCTTCATGGAATCACATACCAATATGAAAAGTAAACAAGGCCTATCCGGAATAAGGCCATTTAGAAATCAGGAAGTTCACCAATTCAATTGCCCTTGTTGCTATTTACACAGCAAGTGAAGAAGAGTTCTGGTGCTTGGCCCTTCACTGACTCTGAATATTTTGCTCACATTATAGGTATAAACACTTAAATATAAATATCTCTCTCAGTCACAAAAGAGAACACACCACAAGCTCTYCAAATTCAGCAAGTGGCCCAGAAATCTTATAATCTGAATATCAGAGTATTTATCCAAAAGCTCAAAGTATGGAGGGTGGGAGCCACCAGCAAAGGCAGCTTTGACAGGGAGCACAGCTGCTSCTCCTCCAATTTCCCAAGTGGAAATAACYCTCCCACCTCTTCCACCAGACCCAGCATGATACTGGGGGACCCCCTCAGCTGAAGTGGCCCTGGAGAGATGCTGGATATTAGCCTGTGAGCAAAACACCTTTTCTCTGCTCAGCATTACAGCTCTCTGCCAGGTCACTGTAAACCATTACACCTCCCTTTCCCAACTGGAAAAACAGGGATGGCACAACTGATTGATCCAAGGATGTTACTGCTGAAGTGAGTCCATCCCTGGGGCAGCAACCAAAGCTCTCCAGCATCTCTGAGTAGGAGCCATGGGGTATGATTTCTGGGTGCACTAAGAGTCTTTAGCTTCTGCTGAAGCCCCGAGACCCCAACTGTATCATCACCTTGACAAAGAAAAGTTAAAAGACACTTTGGAGCTGCTTGAGCTCTCGCTGTCCTGTCTYTCCCATCTCTGTTTGGGTAATTTCAGGTTGGTGGAGAAGACTGGTTCCTGAGGCTTGATGCAGGGGTCAGTCACGGTGGCAGAGAGATGGATGCGAACTGTGTACCCTCCTACCACCTAGAGAAGGACAGAGGATTCAGCTGAGAGTCCRGGTGACATCTGTGCCCAGCCTGCTGCCTGCCYGAAAAGCTGTGGTACCTTGATGGGCAGGATCGCGTGCACTTCTCCCAGTGGCAGGCCAGCACCATTAAAGTGCACTTTTAATTTGCGGAAGTGGCAGTAGGACAGGTCCCACACCTGCTCCAGGTCCACACTGAAACCTTGAATGGATGAAAATAAAGCAGCTGAGATATACAAGCAAGAGGAAACATGTCACAAGCTTGTTAAGATCAYACAGGTGTCCTTGCTTGCATCTCTGGGAAAGACCCTTCTGCATCTGGAGATGCTGCTGCCCTTTTCCCCCTTGTCACCCACCACTCAAAGAGAAAGGGCTTTCMCAGCCAGCAGCCACGGTGCACCTTGGATGGTAAAACCAAAACAGATCAGCTGAGGAGCTCCAGCAATTTCTGCCTTCATCAGGCACCTCAGGGAAAGTTGCGCAGAGCTCTCCAAAGGAGAATTTAGATTCTCCCATACTGTGCTGTTTCTGTGACARCTTGGAGGAGACACCTGAGCTTCCCTTAGACACAGTGAACCACTGTTTGATGGAAGCACAGTGTTGCCTCAAGGCCTTCTTCTCTTCTGGAAGCCTCTTTTAATCCACCAGAGGAACTCACAGTCTATTTTCTCAATAAAGACTTAAGGTAAGTGCTGTGATAATGTGAACTCTAAACAAAGCACTTCCAAATCACGACAGATCCCACGAGTTTGCAACATAAGTTCCTGGAGTGCCCAAAGAAACTCTATGGTTGATGCTCATGGGAGCCAAGGGCAGAGGATGCTGAGAGGTGACCAGGGTGATGAGCCCATCTGCCCCTGCACTGAAGCATTAGGGCAGTCACAGGCAGGCCAGGTCCCTGGGCTGGCCAGAGAGTTCAGGCTCTGAAGCTCCCAACAGGGGCCCCGAGAGGAAAACACTCAAAACCCCACCCCATGATTAGTGGCTTAAGCTAATCTGTTCAAGACAGCTTCTTCATGCCCACAGGAAGTCTCTCCAGCACTGGTTACCTGTGCCATGCAGGGCACTTCCATGGACCTGGAAGGACACTGGGAGCAGCCCAGGATTGCTGATGGTCACAGTGTGACTGGTAGATTCATTCTGAAGGACAGAGCCCATGTTCAGGATGTACTCAGGCAGRTCAATGCTGGAAGAAGGAGTAAGARCAGTCCTTAAACCAGAGCCTGGCTACATCTTCAAGTGGACGGAAGATACAAATAAAAWGGATAGTTCTGTATTCATTGCTGTAAAAACTCAAATCAAGCCTATGAAATCCAAGGCCTGACCACCTGGCAATGACTTTGATAAGTCACAGGGGGTGCAGGTCCTAGGTTTTAACAGCTACCAACGGTACCTGAAAATAACATTAGTTTAAAATGGGGCACTGCTCTGCTATGAAAAGCCAGTATAGGTAAATACATAAGGCCTCTGCTGGTCTCAACGAAACTGCTTAGCCTGGTGTACAGCCTGAGCCTGGAACTGGTTTGGGGCCTAGGAATGAGATTTGTCTACACAGGAAGTCTTCTCTGCTCTGCAACCAGACCTGCCAGCAAAGCAGCACCAATAAATGTAATAATCAATACTGGCAAAATTCACAGGAAGGTCCTTTCCCAGAGCAATCCAACTCAGGAGAGCACATGAATGATCTGTTTTTGCAGAGTATCTTCTTCCTGAAGTAGAGCCCTCTGTGCCTGTGTTGCATTAAGAAGGAGCAAAKGAAAAGTTACCTAGGTAAGCCCTGYCATCTCACCAGCATCAAAGCCACCTGACTTAGGGTTTCCAAGAGTWTGTGTGATTCCTTTTACTCAGTGTGCTCTGTTAGTTGGAACCAAGATGGCAGCTTGGAGTTGTCAGCAGGAACAGTGTCAGTGCTGTCTGCAAGGGCTTGATGGTCTGCACTGGACCCCCTAAGCTCTAGGAACAGAACCCCACACATGTGGGGAGCTGAGCAGTCCCAAACTCAGCATGGCACTGGGGAAGGAAGGACACTCAGCTGCTCACAGAGAGCGTGTCACAGCCACCAGGACCAGWTCCTTTCAGAAAGCTCAGCTATTCCCAGCCCTGCAGACACGAGGAGCTCCCAGGAACAAGGGGCTCTGCTGGATGTTACCCACAGGGCACCTGGAAATGGGGATGGGAGTCCCTACTCACTCGACAAGGCTCTGACGCATGCGCTTTTTAAAGACCCTGTCCTTCGGGGCCCGGGATGTGATAGCTTTCTCCAGCTCCAGAATGCGATCCTCTATCAGCYTCTCCTCTACCTCCCTCTGCAGCCAAGTCTCCCGCTGAGGAAAGAAGATACAATGTCTGGCTAGCAACGGTTCTTCGCAAGGTTTGCATATGAAAAATGATCCCACCCTGCTCTYGTTGAGAGGGGGGATAGGCTCTTCTTGTCTGGCTGCTCYGTGTCTGTGACAYCTCCTGCTCTCTTAGGCAGGACCTCATCTCCAGGGAAGTAAYTCCAGCATCTTTGCCTGCCCTGTTAGAAAAGCTGATCTGGCCAGACAGACAGACAAGCCAGGAACCTTCCAGAGCTCCAGATACTTGCCTGCCCTCTGCCACTGCCAAAGCAGCTTGGAAAAAAGCATTGCCAGCACAATTCCGGGGCACAGTCAAGCTGCTGCTGTTAAGGCCTGTAAACCTTGCAGGGCTTGGGTTGGGAACAACCAACTTCCCAGAAATGATCTACATYTCCTTCCATCCCTTTAGCATGGCCTTCAGGATGCCCCCCTGGRGTAGCCAGGAAGTTGGCGCATCTCCATGAGGGAATCATGACCAGAGGGGCAGCCCCTGGTCATGGCCAGGTGTGGCAGGGAGGTCCCAAGTGCCTTCAGGGCACTGGGAAGCTGCTGTGGGGTGCAAGGGGCTCAAGTGATATGGGGAAGGTGGCATCTGCCTAATGGGGCAGCAGTTGTTCTTACAATGGTGCCAGACTCGTCCAGGGATGATATCACGGATGACTCCAATGCCACAGATGACCACAGATAAGATGATTCACTTCTCYGGCATTCTTTTTCATCAGGGTTTTCATCGCCCTCATTTTCTGAAGGAAAAAAAAAAAATCAGAAATAGAAGATTGGGCGCCTTGCCAATCCCATTTAAGCTGGGAAGTCCCACTTCCCCAACACTGGCCTCTCCCTCCAGAAACAAACCATCCTCTGAGGCCTCTATAGAGAGTAAATACTGCTGCTCCTCCTCCTCCTCCTGCTGCTTCTCCTGCTTCTCTGGCTCCTTTTTCTCCTCTTCCTGCTCCTCTTCCTGCTCCTCTTCCTGCTCTTCCTCCTGCTCCTCCTCCTCCTCTTCTTCTTCCTCCTCTTCCTCCTCTTCCTCTTCTTCTTCCTCTTCCTCCTCCTCCTCTTCCTCCTCTTCCTCCTCTTCCTCTTCCTCCTCCTCCTCTTCCTCCTCTTCCTCGTCATCTTCTTTCTCCTCTTCCTCCTCTTCTTCTTCCTTCTTTTCCTCTTCATTCTCTTCCTCCTCCTCTTCCTCCTCTTGCTCTTCCTCTTGCTCCTCCTGCTCTTCCTCATCACCAGCGTCATCCATGGGGTGGGGCAGAGAAGATGGTTTATTGGCCTTAATGCGTATTTTCACATTTTTTCTTATCTCTTTCAGGATCTTCTCGTATTTTTCATTTCCTGAAGGAAAAATCATCCACAAATAGAAGTGTGGGTGCATTGCCAATCCCATTTGGGATGGGAAGTCCCACCTCCCCAGCCCTGGCCACTCCCAGAATCRAACCCCTCAAGCCATCTATGAAAAGTGGATGCTGCTGCACTTCTCTGAATCCTCATGTTCACTCTCACTTGTCTTCATCCTGGCAGGGGACCATCTCATCCCCTGCAATGTCACACAAATCCAACCCTGCCARAAGCCCTGCCAGCCTCTCTTACAGCTTTTCCAAGCTTTTCTGCCTAGCCATCATCTTTCCAGGCCTCCAAAAATGTGCTGGCAAGATCTGCAGGATGGTTCCTGGGAGAAAGCCCAAATGGGCTCAACTGCTCAAGACTCAGCAAGCAACCATAGAGGTCAAGCATTGGTCTGGCAGCCCTGCAACCTCCAGACTTGGTGGRGATGGGTGGGAGCTGCCTGATGGGCTATGGTAGGGGGAAAAAAACAGGGGATCTACCTGGAAGAAGACAGACATCACTCACCTTTCAACATCCAGGGTAGGTCCACAGTAATCCTAGGGAAGGCTCCCTCTCCTTTCAGGAGGATTTCTGCTGGTTCCAGATAACTCACTTGGAYCTGGAAAGTCCTGGAGAAGACTCTCGGCCTTCCTGGCAGATAATAGACTTTCAACACTTGCTTCTCACCCGGTGCAATGGAACCCTGCAGGGATGGGAGAGGAGGAAAGGAAATGCATCAGAGAAGGTTTGATGGGGGATGGCTCAGGGGACAGGCAGGCTGAGAAGACAGGTCCTCATCTGGAAGGAAACATCAGACCACATCACCTTCAGATGACCTTGTGCCCAAAATCTCATGCCTCCAACCCTGGGGTGCAATGTGTCCTCCCAAGGGCTCACAAGGCTGCAGCCCCAGCACAGCCTCCTGTGAACACAGCTCTGCTGCTCACAGCATTTGCCCTCTGCCAGCAAGAGCCACGCTGAGCAAATAAAAGCTCTTTTGCCAGGAAGAGGAGTGAAGTGCCTGCACTCTCAGAAGGGCCAGCAGCCCCTGTCACAGCACATCAGCAATTCCAGGCTGGTGTCGAAGGGCCTGATCCCTTATTAATGATCCCAACAAAAACACCTTCTGCCTCTGCGGTTACACCAAGGGCATATGAGTGCAGCCTACCACATGGTTTCCTGCAAACATACATCTCTGGAAATGCAGGAGCAGAGATTAGGATGAGATCTGGGGCTGAGAGTGATGGTGGGATGGGCACCTCCTCTCTGGGCTTCCAGAAATGMTGTCYAAGTCCCAGGCTGGGCTCACACCARTGAGGTTGAAGGAAAACATGGCTCTGGGTGACAGGACAGCTTTCCTTGACTCATCCCTGCACACTGGGTTGGACCCTGGGCTCCCCATTCCTGTTCCTACTGCAGGGAGAAGGGGCTGAGCAGGACAAATCCTGCCACTTGGTCCCCTAAGTTGCTCCAGCACACAACACAGCTGCAGCCAAAGGGAGCCGGGCCAAGCTGCCAGCACCAGGAYGCTGCTACAGCAGAGCTGTGGCTGCGGATGCTTGCAGGAAGAGGGCACCAGTGTGTCAGCCCTTGGACAAGTCAGGAAAAAATGAGAGAGCCATTAGGCTTCCTCTTCCCATTCTGAAGAGGGACAAAGACAGGAACACTGCTATAGCTCCAACACATCCAGGCAGGACTGAGAAGCTGGGATGGTGGAATGCTGTGAACTCTTCTCCTTGCTCTTCTACCTCTGCTCCTCCCTGGCCCCCTCACTGCCCCACAAARCTGCTGCAGAGAAGCAAAGCTGGAGGAGGGAGAGAGCAGCACAGAGGCTGTGACAATTTCTGGCAAAGAAGCTTCAAGCCCAAGCAAGGAATACRTAACTGCTGCTTAGAGCTGGCAGCGGGGAGGCAGAAGAGCCAGTAGCACCCAGCTCCACTGTCAGCACAGCCAGAGAGCTCAGCACTTGTGCCTCTGGCCAGTGGTACTCACCAGTCAAGGCCATGGGGGAGTCTATTAGGTGAGCACTTGCTTGACCTCACTGCCCCCAGCCACAATTGCCTACAGCCCTGTCTCTCAGGGCTGGGTTCAAGTTTTCGCCCCTGCTTTTTTTCCTCTTTTTCCCCCCCATTTTTCCTTTAACTCTCTCTCTCTGATACAGGCCCAGGGCCAATCACTTGTGCTACTCACTGTAGRGGGCACGACCACAGGAACACCAGGCATAGGGTTTGCTGCAGTGCCAGTGCTGGTGTTTGGCACCATGTAGGTGAATTCAAGCACGCCGGTGTTCCGCAGGGTGACCTCTGCTTCAAGGACTGTGTTAAACACCTGGAGAGAGGATAGAGGAGTGGGAAGTTACGGATACAGGCCTGCTGCTGGGAATATCCTTYCTCTTTCATGGGGTTGAAAGCAGCCACACAACTACAGAGGGGTGGTAAAGCCATGTGAGGGCCGGTAATAAATAAACCAGGGGACACAGGTCCTCTGCACTCTGAAGGGTCACCAACAGCCAGGGGAAACAAAGGAGGTGGCACTAAGGCATTCCAGAAGAAAAGGCACCTGCATGCAAATATTGGCAAGAGAGACATACAAGGCAACACAGGCAGGGCCAGCAGCTCGAAGTATCTGTAGGCTTTTAACTGAAAAGAAGTAAAGTGGGGATTACTCTGCGACATTCTTTTCAGCTACAGTGACTGAAAGCCCAGCTTCCTCCCTGGATTATTTTGTGGGTTAAGCAAGAGTATTAGGCAAGAGCATCTCCTTGGAGCTCAAGCTTTAGGAGCAGATCAGTGCAGGGATGTCTCAGGGACATGTCCCTCTGGACATCTTCACTGGRACCCTGCCTTTCCCAGGAGGCCGTGTTTGTTCCCTTGAAGAGGRGGGGTGTTAWGTCCCTTGGCCAGCAGGGAGGGGARRRGTGGAGAAGGCCATTAAAAACCAGCTTGGATTCTGGACATATTCCTCAAAGGTTGTATWCCAACCCCCAGAGCCAACAAAGGAGCTGAGAAGGGGAGAGAGCCTGGGACAGAGGTGGGCAGGAACCCGCTGGCCATGATTCCAAGACAAGGAGTTGTGCCAGGAGAAGCGTGGGGTACCTGCAGGCCCCAGTCAATCTCAGCCACATCCAGTTGGTAGCTGGGGCACGAAGCCTCCCCRGTCAGCACAACCTCGTAGGTGGGGCCTCCCTCCACGTGGCACAGCGCCGTGACACGGGCGACAATGTTGGYGTGGCCAAAGAAGGTGAAGGAGACCCGCTGGCTCTGGCCTGGTGGCAGCACACCCGACAGCGGCAGGATATCAAAAACCTGGAGGGAGGGGAGGAGAGATCGAGGTGTTGAGTATGGAAATGGATGCAGAAGAGCAGCTGTGACTTGGATTACAGTACAGTCATAGCTGGAGGGGCTTATTCCCCAAACACAGCCAAGAATCACCCTGAGCTTATCCTGTGTCCATGCCCCTGACAAGTGGAGGGACCATGGGGAAAATCTCCCATACTCACTTATCAATGAGCATACACTACATTAAATTAAACTGGAACGTCTCCTGGCAGCAGGAAATTCTCTCTGCTGCAGAACTTGCCTTTAGAAACATTTCTCACTGTCATCAGAAAAACAGGAGACTTGGAGGTGGAAGCCCTTGAGCTGGGGAAAGGAGTCCAGCCCAGCTCAACTGACTTCTGAGGCTTTTCCCTCTCTCTCAGATTTACATGCTGCTCTCTCAAGCKGCTACAGCAAAAGTTCCTACAAAAATTTCCTATCAACAACCTGATGAGGTAAATGGGAGCAATGACTTCCACAGATGCTGCACAGGGAGCATCCTGGCTCAGCCCTACAAAATGTCCCACACGGTCTATCCAGTGACCAATTGCTTCAGCAGAGCTTTGTGATGGGCTTGGAGGGATGTGAGGCCCCTCTGTGGGCAATGCTGAGGGCCACCTCAGTGACAGTGGGCGTCAGAATCACTTTCCACACTGGAAATATGGAAGTGAGACACATTCTCACTTACTTCCTCCATTCCTCGGGTGATGTACTCCACCTCTGAAAACTGACTCAATCTCCTTATCTCCACTGGGCTTTTAGTCTCCTTAGTAGTGGATAACACCGCCTGGAAAACAAGAACCACAGGCTGCAGTTGGCTGGTCTGAGCAAGATCACTCTGCTAACAGGCTCCTCAACCTCAGCACACCAGGAGCAGCTGAGAAGGGACCTGGGCACAAATCAAGTGTGGAAATGTCAAATGCAGGTCCAAGCCCTCCCACGTTGGATCCCACCTACCTCCTCTGCTCTYGAGGCAGGATGCTCCTCCTCTGAGCACTTACTCGAACCATTTGTCCTCACTGAGCCCTGAGGCTCCTCAGCAGTGGATGACAGCAACTGGAAAACAAGAACCATGAGCTGCAGTGAGCAGTTGGCTGGTCTGAGCAAGATCACTCTGCTGCAGGCTCCTCCACCTCAGCACACCAGGAGCAGCTGAGAAGGGACCTGGGCACAAATCAAGTGTGGGAATGTCCATGCCATCGGTCAAGTGCAGGTCCAGACCCTCCCAGATGAGACCTGGGCTCCATCTGAACTTCCTACATCAAACTTGCACGAGGGAACTGGGTTCCCCCAGCACTCAGGCAYGGAGGGTTGGAACTCCATGGTCTCTGAAGGTCCCTTCCAAGCCAAACCATTCCAGRATTCTACGGTGGCCACTTGAATTTCCCTGGTTTACTTGGGCATACATGGCAACAACCAGGAAATAAAGATGATTTTATGTTTCTATCTGAAAACATTCAGCCACACTATTCKTTGCATCTATAGGGTTTTGTTAAATGAACAGAGTTAAACAACCAATATTTGGATGTGAGCAGKACAAACCCCTCTCCTTAATACCTACATTGGGGCTTTTGGAAACTCTTCTGCTTCCTTACGTATTTTTTTAATTGTTCCACATGATGCAGAACAAGGGGCCACTTCCCACTCCCAAGTGCCAATGTTCACCACGCAAGTTGGCAGATCAAAGGCCTTTTTCCTTGCTAGGAGTCACTTTGCAAAGTCTTGCTTTATAACATACAGCTCCAGGGCTGTCACTGCAATACCAGCTTTCAGGTGAAGGCAGGGATGTGAACACTCTAGCTGGGTTGGGAAGGGGGTGCATGGAGATCAGGACTTGTCATGGCTTGATACAGGAAGGAAGCTGGAAGCCCTCTCATTGTGATGCAGATAAAAACCTCATTATACATGGTAAAGAAAATAAGCTAAAAAATCCAAAACTCATCATAGGTCTGTAGGATCTGAGTGGGCTTCTCCAAGCAAAACTATCCTATTCTCCCTCCCCAGACATCCCATGTCCAGCCAGTAGCTCTGCTGCCCAGCCCATTCTCAATGCACAAGACAGAAGATCAGCATGAGCATGGCTTTTCAGTGGCAAGCTGGGGAGGCAATGCAAGTGGGAGGTGCACAAGAAAAACTACCTCTACTCCCAGGGAATCCTCATCTGATAGTGACTGGGCAGCATCCTCCTGGGCAGAGCCCTCCTGGGTAGAATCCTCCTGGGCAGAACCCTCCTGTGCAGAACCCTCCTGGGCAGAACCCTCTTGGGCAGAGCCCTCCTGGGCAGAGCCCTCCTGGGAAAGATTCTCCTGGGCAGAACCCTCGTGGGCAGAGCCCTCCTGCGCAGAATCCTCACGGGCAGAAGAACCCTTCATTGCTTCCACGGCTTCAGTTGGCTCCTCCACACTTTCAGTCTTAGAGGGTCTCCTTAAAAACACTGCCTCCCTCTTCAGTGAGCCGGGTTTGAATTTGGGTGGTGAAGGGATGAATCTGGAAAATACCATAACTATGATCATGGAGCTGTAGTGGGAGAGGGATGCCTGAAAGGGCAGCTCCTCATTGGGATGCAGCCCCAGGCTGGGTGTGTTGGTGTGGTAAGCTCAGTAACTTGGGAGGGTTAGGAGGAAGTTAATATTTTCCAACACTCCCAGGTAACTCAGGTGACATCCCCTATATTAAATCACAGCAGGTGCTCAAGGTAACTCTGCTTGTGTTTCTACTGCCAGGCTGCAAGCATTCCCCACTCAGTCAAATAKGACCCTCCTCAGAGCTATAGAGGTTATTGCCTTTGAACCAGATCCGAGTTCCCTAAACAGAACTGTTTCTGGATGAGCTCTCTTTTTTTTTTTTTTTTGGAACAGCAGCACTTCAGTGCCCAGTGGTCACCTTGGCTTGGTTTCTTGGGGCATTATGGCAAAACCATTAGCTTCTGTCATGAAAGGTACTCAGCCACATACCTTATGGTGTTCACCTGGTTGTCTGTCTGGAATGACCAGTGGTACCGGACAGGAATTGGGCTGCAATTGGTCATCTCCATATACAGCACTTGTTCAGTGTCATTGATGATGCAGCCAAAGTCCAGGGCCTTGGCCTGGAGATGGAGATTCGGGAAGTGGACTTCTCCCCGAACTCTGATGTGCTCCTCGTGAGGATGCTCTACCAAGCTCATCTTGAGAGTCCTCTTTGCTACCCGGCTATGTAAATCGTTCTCATAAGCTGGGTTAAACTGGATGCAGAGAGGAAGTTCTTGGTCTACATCCAGCACCATGGGCTGCAAGGAGATGAAGAGCATTAATCACCTTTGTGATCAAGTCCCACAGTCCGAYAGCAGGAAACAGTAAAAGTTCAGAGACCCCAGCCCAGGTGGGCTTCTCAGTTCACCCTCATTTCTTTAGAGTGAGGATCTGTCTGTAGGCACCATGCTCTGGTCTGAGATTGTGATAAATAAAGTTTGGTTCATGAAATCGCAGTRGAAAATYACCACAYACTTTGTTAAGACAGTTTGCCAGCCCAGCAGAGTTTGCCCTGTTTGTAACATCTTTGAGTATCTGGGGGGAAGGGCACTGTGGAGTTGCCAGAAAGAAGAGGAGCCTGCCTCCACCAGAGTACAGCAGAAGACCCCCCTGGCAACAACACAGCACAGACGCAGTATGATCCCTGGAAGTTTCTGGAAGCTCCACGTCACCCCGAGATAGAGACTGTATAAAAGGAGGGGCTCGGACTATGTGCGGTGTGGTGTTGTGAGGAGAGTGCTGGAGGAGGTACAGACTCACCCGGCCTGCCCAGCGCTGTTTGACCACTATCTGCTTGCTTAATTAATCAAATTTATACTTCATTGGATACTGTCTCGGATCGGTTGTTGAGACCTAACTTATAACAATTTGGATACCGTCTCTGATTGGTAATTGAGACTCAATTTATGACAAGATTCACTCAGGTTCACGTTTCTGTGCTTGGCAGCAGCACAAGGGGATGGTGYTGGAGAGCTGAAATGCTTTCCAGGAGACACCATCCCTGCATGGTTTACCCAGACCTGGTTTCCTGCTCCCTTCTCCTCAGGTCTTAGAGCTAGCATGGATGCTACCAATTCAGATTAAATTTTGCTTCYTTCAGCAGCTCTGCTGATCCAGCTCAGGCTAATCCATGGCTGACACTACAGAATAAACTTCTCAACTCGAGSACCTCCCAACAGAAATGCACCACCATATCYCTCCTCTTCAAAYCCCACTGGAGGAGTCCATGGCTGCTCACCTCAGAATTTGCAGGAAGGGGCTGCCGGTCCACATCACAGATTAGGAACGGCTGCTCCAAGTCCAGCACAATTCTGACCGGCAGGGAGGAGGTGTTTTTTAAAGTCAGAGGCTTGTACTGCAGAGTCAGGACATCACCRGGTTTCTACAGAAACAGGAGACAAGGGAAAACAACCTCAAGTGGCCATAGACCTCCTTCCCTTTCTGATGCACTTCACATTTTTCAATCCCAGAAGTTCTCTATTTATTTCCAGACAATTTAACTGTTACACCTGTGAATGCCAGGATGCAATCCACAGACTTACCTTCTCCACATGGAAAGTGATTGCTTTGGAAGACATTTCCACAACAGGAGAAATGAACTTGCAGGTGACATCCACTTGCATTATCAGCCTCTTTGCGTTCTCATTCCCCACAATAGCATGRCACAGTAGCCGCTCCTTCACATCCTGCATGCGAGAGTCACTTGTCACCCAGTGAGTGCTGGCAGGTCAAACACCCCACACTGGCTCGCCATCCACCCGTGGGTGCTATTCCTGTCACTTTTTATTAGTGACTSTAATCAGTCTCTGCTCTCCTCAATACTCCTCTTTTCTTTCTGTGCTGAAGCCTATTTATTCTAAAGAACTGTGCCCGGGGGTCCTGGAGCCAGGGAATGCACATCTGCGTTACCTGAAAGGTTCTCTGCAGAGTTACATTTCCCCTGGAAAGAAAGGTCCAGGTAGGAGAACACCCCAAGACTCTGCTAAGATCTGCCCCACTGAGCTGCTCTCCAAGACTGCTGCACAACCTGTCTGCCCCTGGGACACTGGGGCTGCCTCAGAGACTGGGGCAAGCAGTAATAGAAAAGTTGAAAAAAGTCAAGTTGTCAATGATAATGATCCCTGGGAACAGTTTTCCACGTGGATGGACAACACTGATCATTAAAGCTGGCACACTGCTTTTTCSCCCTCCAGGRCTCAGGGCTAGACCAGCCCTCTGCCCATGTTTGTTTGTGGAGGAAAAGCGATGCTGCTCCCAGACACTCTTGCCATTCACGGGGCTTTTGTTTTACTCCCTGCTTCCCTCAGAARAACCACTTGACACTAGATTAATTTACTTGCTGCCTGGGCTTCTAGTCTAAGTGCAACTTATTTCCCCTGCCCCTCCTTTCTGCCTCAGCACACAGCACTGGTAGCCTTCTGTTTTACTTCTATCAGCTGGTATTTTGGGATCAGCAAGTTTGSTTTATGGTAGCTATGGAAACACAAAAGAGCCTTAGCAACTGAGGCTGGCCAGCAAGAAAAGCAACTGGCCTCAAAACAGTTTCTTGAAGTCACTCGYTCCTTTTCCCAGACAAACATCAAGGGGCTGCAGAAGAAGCCCCAGTGGAGGGGATCTGACAGGGAAGGGTCAGCCCTTGGCAGGGCCTCACCTGGGCAGTGCTGGAGCAGCCTTCCAGCACRACCTCCACAGTCTGGCCAGGCTTCAGGCCCATCTGTGTTGGCCTCAGCTTAAACACGGGGCTGCCAGGTCGGGGGATCTGAGTAACAGCTTTTTTCTTGGTGACATTGAGGGCAGAGGAATGATTATTCCGCCGAAAGATGCTGAACCCTTCTGTGGTCCAGTACAGCTGATGGATGCGTCGTCCTTTGTTTGTCACTTTGAACCGGTAAYGGCAGTGAGTGAAGCTGGAAGAGAAGCAGAGATAGAAAATGTCATGGGAGCTGCTATTTCTCTGTGGTCACTCTGCTTCAGCACTCTGGTGACATTCCCTGACTGCCCACTCTGCAATAAAACTTCCACCCAAAAGGCTGCCCAAGCTCAAAGCTTCAGCTACAGCCAGGTCTTCCAGATTTTTCATTTCTGTGGCTTTCCAGGATCAAMTTTCAGATGATGTATTTCTAAAGGAATCAGGGAAAGGAATCAGGCTTCAGGGAAACAGAGCTGAGACAYTGAGTACTGAAGAAGATCTAGCCTGAAGGACTGTGGAAAAATTGTTCCTTGCTGAACCCACAGGAGAAGTGGAAGCTGAGAGTCTCCTACCTGAAGTGGGGCTTAAAGTTGAACTCTGGAGCAAATGGTTTGTCAGTRACAATTGTGGAGCCAGTGCCTACACCCTGGACAGAGATAATGTTCTCAGGGTTGTTCTCAATGAACACCTTCAGCTTGTCGTGGAATTTAATTGTGTCATCCAGGTATGCTGTGACAATCACAGACACTTCAGAATTAGGGGGGATCACTCCTTTACTGGGTTCAATCTTCCAGCATGAGTATTTKCCACCCTGTAACACAAGTCAAACACAAATGTAGGATGAAAACCGTGGACCCTGCTCTGCTGTGGGGTGCAGGAAAACAGGGGGACTAAGGAGATGAGCATAAAAATTATAAAGGTTTCATATCCCAAAATTTAAGCTATGGAGTCTGGCAACAGCAACTCTCCAAGAGCTTATACAACCTATATTTTACCCTCCTTTAACAGACTCACGTCATTAGCCCAGTTTTGCTCAACCCAAGGGATGCTCCTCCTCAGGAGAAGGTTATTCCCCCTCCAGTCTCTCTTTGGAGTGCTTGCCAAGGGAAGTTATTTACTCTCTCCTGGCTTCCTGACAGCTGAGCTGGGTCTGCACAAAGGCTCAAGGCCAGAGGAAGCCAGRGCTGCTCAAATCCCACCCCAGCAGCCACACGGCTGGAGAACACTGCTGAGAGCCTGAAGAATAACTCTGCAAAGCCAGATGAGCAAAACTCCAACACCAAAGCACCAAAGTCTTCTTTCCCAAGGGGCTGTCAGTGCTTCTCAACAGCCCCTGAAGGTCTCAAATCCTCACTTCCCACTGACCATCAGCTGCAGAGAGGGGCCCCAGAGCCCTCTGCTTTGCAAAAGGCAGCTCTGCATGGTTACAGCAGGGCAGGAAAGCAGCAAGCAGAAAAAACCTGCAAGATGTGCCCTGTGGGCACAGCATGGCCTTGCTAAGGATTCTCATGCTTTGGTTTCTCATGGAGCTCCCTCTGTGGATGGGGTGAGAGCTGGAGGTGCCCAGGGCAGGGAGCCTCACACCGGGACAGCATCATGGACACAGCTCTGCAGGGCAGGGCTGGAATGAGCACGTAAAACCCACCCTTCACACGCCAGCCCACCCAGCCCAGGGGCACTGCTCCCTGCACTCAGGGAAAGCTGTCCTGGCAATTCCCCACTTTGGGGTTACATTTATCCCCCTCAAACAGCTGGAAAAGCAGCAAGAGGAAAATTCCCCCTGCTCCTCTTTGGCCCAGGAGGATGAGCCTGGACACTCCCACATGGCCCAATGCTTTATCCACAAACACAAACAAGTCCACAGTGTCAGGGTTGGCTTTAAGCAGCTCCAGAAGTTCAACCCAGCCAACGTGGAGAAGATCAAAGCTCTTTYCAAGGCTGTTTTCAAGCGTCTCACAGATCCCCTGGCTCCAGCAGGGAGCACATCCCCCACAGCCCAGAGCCACGTACCCTTCCTGGCTGCAGCGGCCTCGCTGCTCCTGCCAGAGGAGCAGCCACAGCCCCAGCCCTGCAGCCTCCAGGAATTAAACATCTTTCTCTGCAGCTGCTCTGCAGATACTCTGTAACGCTACAGAGACCACAGGCTGTGGGGGTGCACAACCCTCGCTCCTGTATTTGTGTGTGACAGCCCTGCTGCTCTGACCCACRGGAGCTGTGAAACTCGCCTCTCCCCACAAGCAGTTTGAGGCCAGCAAACACCACGCTTTCTGCCATTAACACAAGTTTGGCACAAAGCAAATGCTGATGGAATGGGGAATCCATAGGGAAATCCATGCCCTCTCGGGAGCAAAGGACCGCAGGCTTCTCTTGATCTCCAAGTTCCAAAAGCATGATTAGCACAGCTAAATATCTTCCACAAAATTAAGGGAGAATTYGCAAACATGATCCAGACTCATTTCTGCTCCAATCACTCTGCAAGCTATTTCACTGAGGGTTGCCTGAGATCCTGGCTCCTCTTGCTGCACTCAGAATATCTTGCTTCCTCTCACACAGAACAATATAGAAACATGGCATAGAAAAAGACAAGTCAAGGGCTGCTACTAACCACCCATTTTCACTGGAAAGCAGCCCCAGAGACACTCACCATCTCTGTCCAGAAGGCTGCAGGAATGGCAGTCTGATTGGAGAGGCAGAGGCTTTTGGAATGCTCTTGTAAGACTTCGATATTGCCAAAGTTTATCTGTCTTGGATGTACAAAGACAACYGGTCCCTGTCCAGTGCACTCTAAATGGATCTCCTGTTCCAAGAAGAAGGTAGGAAAGATTTAAAAAAAGACACAACAAGGAGAGTTTTAAAAGCTTAGACAGCTCTAAGAGCACTCCTAGACTGCGGAAAACTATGGCTGTTTGAAGTTTTCAGTGATGTAGATGGAAACAGAAGGCCTGGATCAAGCATGGGGTCTGCAGTGATCCCATCTGAAAGCCACAAGCTCCCATTATCAGAGGACAAAGAAATGCTATTTGCCATGTTTGCTTCTTCACCCTTCCTCCACTCTGCTATTTCCTCTACCTCCTGCCAGCTCCATCATTCRCTTCTCCATCTTGCCCCAAACTACCCTCACAACTTTTGCTGCTGCACAGCCACCCKTGAACACTCAGTTCTTTAACATTTCTGAAGTTACACTGGTGAAACCAGTACAAGTCAGAAGCAAAGCAGGCTCTTCAGAGTRGAGATGAGGCAAGTTAGCTGCCTCTTATTTGTGCTTATGTGTATTCTTCATGYTGTATGATAATGGGCATTAATTAGTAACTGAGGGACCTGACTTCCAGAAAAGCTCTGCACAAGTAATCCCTTCAGTGGTCTCGTACACAATGCTTGCTTTGGCAGGATTCAGGGATGTGCCTGTGTGCTCCTGAACAATTCAAATGAAGCAGCACTTTTGTTCCTCTGATAACATGGYAGAGTGTGAGACCCAGAGACTGGTCTGGGTTTCAAACTGGGGTTGTTATCCCATTTCCCATATTTGTAACTATATGGTGGGTCAGGGACTGAGATTAACACCTGTGAGGATTTGCCCTTCCTCTTTTCTAGGCATAAGCTGCTGCTTGTGMTGCCAATCCCTTCTTTCTTTGTCCACACTGGCCCTATGTATTTATATATATTTATCTCTAGAAACTTATAAATTTATATTTTATAAATATTTATAATATTTTTATGTTTATATCACAAGTTYCTGGAAGAATCCCTGTACACTTCATGCTCCACTGGGATGAGCTGCCCAAGGGCACACATCTCCCCTCGCTCTCACCAGTGGGGATGCCTCATTCCCAAACACTGCGATGTCAGCAGTGATGCTGCACTCTCCCAGGCACCGGGCCTCAATTGTAAGAGGTATCTCCAGCGAGCTGTGACCCTCGATAATCCCAGATGGCGCAGAGCTGTAGTACCACGCGGGAGCGTTCTCCTTGTTTTCCTAGAAGRGACAGAATCAAAAGCAACTTCAGAACTGAGGAAACTTTCAACTACTTAATGTCTACCAYAAGAGTAATTCACACACAGTTGTARAAATCCTCAGGAGAAAGCAAAAAGGCAAAAAACAAGAGGCAAGGTGCAGGTGCTGAGCATCCCCAGGGGGTCCAAAAGTTGCTGCATCCACAAACACCCACTCCTGTGCTGGCAGCCTCCTTGCATCAGATTTTCACAACCCTTTAAGCTCTCCCACATGAAAACAAGTCAAAGACTAGAATATAAACATCTTCCTCAACATGTTAAACTGTTTCCTGAAGTTTGTATTCAGGTAGGTTGTTGTTCTCAGCAAACCTTTAGGTTTGAATAGAAATCAGCAAAGTCTTATTCAAACTCTTTTATTCCCCTAATAACCCCTTCAATAACATTTGGAGAGGAGGAGCTGGATGAAAAGCCAAACCTGAGGAAGAACCATGTAACAGCCTGGATATTTGCTGTCATTCACGAGGGTCAGCTTCTTGATATATGGGACCTTTAGGCAGCACCACCCAAACGACACGATGGGGTCAGTCACTCGCAGTGTAGGAATGTGGCATCTGAGCAAAGAGATAACCCCAAGGGAATTAGAGATGCTGAGAGCATTGAGAACTTTTGCCCTCCAAGAGCTCCACTGAGCATAAGACATTTGTAAAATTGAATAGAAATTTAATACTCCTACAGTGATAAATCATCTTCAACTTCTTTTTACCAGAACACCTCTTGTCGAGGAGGGGCAAGCCCTGAGGCTCAGCACTGCAGAGGCTTCCAAGGGCCCAGACAGAGCTGTTACCRAGCTGTTTTAACAGCTTTGCCCCTTCTTTGCCCAAGGACACTTGCAAGAATTCCTTCAGCAGTCCCAATGAGCCATGAGCTCTGGGGGAGCTTGAGGACCTGTCAATGAGGACCAGTGCCCACCAAGGCTAAAAGAACACAAGATTCCAGTGTATCAGTAAAAATGATTCCCTCTTCTCCTGCAGAGCTCTTGCCCTGCCTGAAAACTGAGCCATCTCTTCCAGCAGTGGAGGGCACAAGCCCTACGGAGTGGATGATCATCCTCTCCCAATTCCTACAGCTCCCTCTGCTCTTCACACCACAATGTAGGGTCTCTATATTGACTCTCCCCATTTGCACTTGCTTGACAAAACAGCCCAGGCACTGACTGGATGGCTCTGCCTGGGAGAGGAAACAGCACCAGGGAACTGCATCCCTCTTGTCATTAAACTGATGCCCACAGCAGCACAGCAGGATGGAATTTGGCTTTAACAAGAAAAGCTTCTGGCCTCAGCTCTGAGAGCATTACCCAAAATAGCCAGAGGGAAGCAGTGAAACCTGAACTCACCTACCACATCAAGGACTATATTCCTCTTCATAATATCTTTTCCCTGCCCTACTCCCACCATGAGCCCCTTTCCCACTGGCACATGCACTGGTTAAATGAAGCAGACCCCAGCTCTCAGCAGGCTGCTCACTGTGTCCCAAACCAGGGCTACAGGGGGTCACACCCCAGGACAAGTCCACCACTTGCAGGAAGAAGGGAAATTCATTGCCCCTTGAGTACCAGACCCCAGGCCAACAATTAACCTTATTCCTGCTCCCTTTAGAAAAAGGCTTATGGCCATGCCTGGCTGTGAGCAGGAGGGCTTCTCACCATGSGCTGCTCTCCTGGCACTGTTCTCATGTCTAGATGGGCAGACCCAACYCATTAAGCAGCAGCCAGGCAGTGTGCTGGTGCTGGATGCACAAGGAAAGACAAGCAGCTGCAAGGAAAGTGCTGGTACCTGGCTGTGATGGGCAATGCCAACATCTTCTTGCCCACACCTTCCACATCCACCACCAGCTCCATCTTGTATTCTCTGGCAGTGTTGGAACATAGGGTGACCTGGTAGAAGAGAAGAGCAGAAAATATTTTCTCACTCACAAAACCTCATTGCCCATGTATGGTGTCCTCCAGTTCTTGTTCCATAGTACAGAAAGGGAGGATTTTGCCTTAATTCTTCTGCTGGTCCATAAGTAAAGCACAGTCTTTGGGAATAACAAAAGCATTCTGGCAATATCAGATTTGTTAAAGGGACCAATTTTTCACCTGACTACAATAACATAAATGCAGAAGAAATCTATTGTCTTGAACAGAACAAGTTCAGTTTTACAGSAGAAAGCTGAGAACAAAGTGTGGCCCAGCAGATGCTGGGCAGTTCATGGCTGCAGAGTGTTTTCTGTCCCCACTGAAGATCCCTGCAGTGAMTACAACCCACTCTGCTCCCCAGGAGAGGAGAAATGAGACCAGGAAGGAAAGCAAGCTGCTCTATACCACGATATCTCTCTCTTTAACAGCCACCTTCTGTCCTCATCCTTCCTCTGCCCACTTTCAATCAAAGAAATCACCCTCAAAAACACAAGAATGGCTTCTGTACGTGACCATCTGGTACATGATTTCAGTGTATKGTTTTGGAAACRAAACAGTGCTCCTTCAGGAATATCCCGAGTGACCCAGCTAACAGAGGCCTCTYACCAGTGCAGAGCTCTCACTCACACGATGCTCAAAGCAGARCCAAAGCCCTCCCACTCTCCAGTGAAGATTCACCCTCACCTGCCRGACTCTTCCCATACCTCGATATCCTGGGATCCCAGGGCGCGGACAATCCCTGTGGAGGGATGTATTGTGAATTCACTTGGCCTCATAACACCTTGAGCTCTCTTATTCCAAGCCTCGCGATCGGTTYTGAACATCTGAACAGAGCTGCAAACGCTGGGCTCTCCCAAGCCGTCCCCAGGAACACGGAGGTTGAAGYCCACGGATGCCATGCTGGTGTTAGACAGGCAGCACTTCAAGGTGCGAGGAAAACCTAAGAAAATGACAAATATCCATTTAGGCATCAATTATCTCATGATTCCTGATATGAATATCCTGGTAGAAATAGAAATAGATAGATAGAATATAGAAAGATAGATAGAATATAGAAAGATAGAAAATAGATAGATAGAAATATGCTTCGATTTTAGCTCTTTGTTATCTGAACTACAGCTCATTAAGCAGCAGAAGGAGGATTTACAGTTCCCTTTGACACTGATCCCAGATTCCTGCCTTGGAAATGTCCACTCTTAGCCCGGCTGAACACCACAAATTTCTCTCTCTGATGGGGAGGAGCTCTCTCACCTGCTTCAAATCAGAACCAGTTATTTCTCATTGATGGGTGCGCACCTAAACTGACCATTTTCTCTGAAAATTCAATCAGTAAAATGCCCTGTTAACATCACCAACACTCCCATCATTTTCAAGACATAAATCCAGTGATTTGTCATTGAGGAGAAGCTACAGTAAAAGAAAGGGAYGATGGAATTAGGAACTAGAACATGATGCAAAGCACCTAATGCAGTTTCTCTAGTAAGATCCTTAAGGCATCTCCTGATGTGGGGCAACCAGACTGAGCTCGTGACAGCTCACAGCCCACTCCACTGGAGAAAAACCTGAGCCTTGCTTCGAGATCAGCAATTAGGAACCACCTCACCCGACAAACAGGGACACCACACCCACGCTGCTCACTGGCTGTGATTGCTGCCCACAAAGGCTCTGAGACTGGGTGTCCAGAGAGGAGAGCCAGGGATACAACCACACCTCATGGGGATGTCCTGCAGAGCCAGGACATCAGCCCCCAACCTGCTCTGCTGTGGATGGATATATGGCTTGGCTGGCCAGCTCTGTGGGGAGGAGATATTTCCCAGGGCTGACGGATTTAAACATAAGTCATTTGAACACAGATGGAGAGGAGGAATCAACTGCAGGCACAGGCCAGAGCTTCTCTGTGCCCCTAAACAGTGACCACTGCCAGCTCCAGCAGTGACTACAGCAGAGAGGCAGGAGGGGAGGGGCACAAAAAGGACAGACACAGGTCTCACAATCCCAAATGCCACGGAGGTCACCAGATGCAGACAACAGCCAGCAGCACAGTTAAAAGAAATAAAGATACAACAGCTGCCTTCAGCTGAAGAGGCCTTAAGAATGAAATCAGATTAAGCAGAATGAATCTGCTATTATAGAACCATATTCCTGCCTGGTGCCTTTCTTATTGTGCYACTTATTCAAAAGGAAATGAAGAAGTGGCCAAACCCAAACAGTGATGCTGACTTTCTATTCCTTTGGTCCTGCTTGATCTCATGATGGCAAAATGCTGCCCAAGGCACCAGCAGCCCTGGAGTTAACGCCCTGAAGAGGCTGCTGTGGAGGAAGACGAGTGACGGATGTTCTCATGTTCAAGTGCTCCATTTCAGCAACACACAAACCTCTCACACCGTGGTGCAAACCCAGGGCACACTCACCACAGGAGACGTCACCGAAGCGGAGGGCGGACACATCGAAATGCAGAGTTGGTGGCATCACAAAGCCCCTGCGAGGACAAAGGCAGGAAGGCAGTGGCTTTGTTAAAGGGAATTGCAAAGTGTTTGGGTATCATCAGGGCTGGGGTGTTCAAATCAACCCAGCACCCATGTGGACAGGAGGCAGCCAAAGCAAAGTGGTCAGCAGCCGACAGATTATCTGGGACAAAGCCTCAGGCTGAAGTGGTCCTGAGAAGTGAGTTTTACCTATCATCACTTTTCTTCTTTTTTTTTTTTCCCACCTTTTCCCTTTGCTGGGTGAGGATTTTATCCTTTGCAATGGCACCACTTTGTGGGATGATGCCCAAATCCTTGGGACAGTTCCTGCTGCAGAGTTCCCTGTCTCTTATATCAGCCCTTTCCTGGCTGTGAAAAGGAGGTACCAGAGCACTCTGCACAGGAGTCATGAGCACAGCTTGTTCTGCACTGCATGGGTGTGGGAGCTGGGGTGAGGCTGCTGCTGCCCATTCGGGATGCATTACCAACAGGATTTCAAAAACACTGCTGCTGGTGCAGAATCACCCAGGCTGGTCCATCTCCAAAGCCCTGGGGGCCTTGCAGGGTGTTAAGGTGGCACATCCCAAACCAGGTACTGCCCAAAGCTGATCCATCCCACAGCCTGCCAGGGTCTAAGTGGGAGAGACATCCCTGTAGGAAGGAGTCACTCCAGCTCCTGGGTACCCATAGAGGGCAGCAGGCACCCCTACATTAGAAAGATGCCAGGATCAGAGCCAAAATGAACACCTCGGGCAACACCTTTTTTGCCTGTACTGCCACAAAATGAAGTATTGGGAGATGTCCCAGAGACAGCTACAGTTGTGCCCAGCAAGCTCCCAGAGCCCTCCTCACCTGATAGTCAAGGTCAAAGGTGTCTCAGGAGCTCCAGTCACACGGAAGCAGAATTTTTCCTTGAACTCCCCCAGGACAGTGGGAAGGAAGGTGATCCGAATAGCCTGGAGCTTTTCTGGTGCCACGATGCCCTTCTGGGGCAGGAAGGTGAAGCAGGAGCCCATGGCTGTGGTTGGAGGGATGAGGCTGAAGGGAGCCTCAATAGGTCCCTTGTTTATCAGGACTGCCTACAGCAGCAGGAAAGCAAAATGGAAACACATGAGGAATCTTCCTTTCTTTCAGAAGTCCGAGTTTCTTTCAAATTAAACAATTAACACCTGTAAAAGGGAGAAGATGCCCTGTGCTGCTGCATGGCAGGAGCCAAAAAACCCAACTTTGAAAGACAATTTTGTATGCCTTTGGGTTTTTCATGCAAAGCAGTGATAACTTCACATAGAACAGTCACTCTGGGGTCTTCCCACTGGCACAGACAGTCCACTTTGACCTGCAGCACAGAGGAGCTGCTCATCATCCCCAAGTTCATTCACACCCAGCCTTAAGAACAGCACTGGGCATTGCAGCATTACCAGTGAAATCACCACAGAGCCGCTGCTGCTGCTCCAGGTGTACCCAACCATGGCAGGACATGTTCAGCTTCCATTGCAGTCAACCCATTTACTGCATGTAGAAGACACCGGAAGGAAAGATGTAGAAAATTCCTTTGCTTCCTTCTCAGAAACCCTTTGCTCTTTCTAGAGGCAGAGATGTACCAAGGCTGAAGTGTGGTGAGGGACTGGTCAGCAATAGCAAGCACTGCAAGCTCTTTGAGAGGGCCAGGGCTGAGCCAGGAGGATGAATGGCTTTCCTCTGACTCCCAGGAATAGGCAGGATTATTTCAGTTTTTTAGTTCAGTTTTGACTGAAAATGGTTTGCAATGGACTCAAGCTCATATGCAGCCAGTTTGTTCCAGCTGCTTTTGGACAGCCTGAGCACAAAGGTGATTTGTGTCTGGGGATGGAACAAAAGCCTCTGAACATGAAGCTTTTTGACCCAGTGTTGCTCTCATGTGCCAACGGGTTGTTTTCCAGGAAGCCTTACAACTGATCTCCAAGGGAGGCTGCTGAAAAGAAGGGATTGGGGTTTCATGAATAACAGACATTTCCAACCCCATCAAAGAGATCCAGATTCCAAGAAACCCCTCAAATTTGACTTGCATCACAATTGCACAAGTTGCCAGGAATTCCACAGGTCCACAAGGCTCACTGCTGCTCCCGGGAGCCACAAAGATCCATGCCAAACCTGCTGCTCACCTCATATCTGTTGACTGCTTTGATAAAAACCTCCCCGATGTTCAGTTCCTCAAAGTTGAAGCGGAGTTGGGGTCCAAGGCCTTCCCCTGTGAGGAACAGGGGCAGCCTGGTCTCACGTCCTGGGGAGAGATTTCTATTTCAGTACGGTAATTCCTTCTGCTATCCTGCATTTTCCAGGCTGCCTTAGTGCTAGTCCCTGACTCTGAGCTGCATGAGACCAGCTCCCAATGTTCCAGGAGAAGATACAGAGCCTTCTCTTCCCGCAGGAGATACAATACGTCCACAGAGACCATCCTTTCTTCTGCCTCTATGTTGATACTGGAACTTTAGGAAATGCCAGAAATTTGGTTCTACCTCCTTCTGGGTGCACCTCAAAGAGTGTTTTTACCAAAGGAGGAGGAACAGACTAAATACATGCAGCATTCAGAACGGCTGAGAGGGGAAAAAGCTAAATAGAGGAGATCCTCTGGAAGCTGTAGGGACAGTGGGGATGTGCTGGCACTGCCCTGCTGACCACAGACCCTTCCCAACAATTACACAGGAGCCCAGTGACCTGGGAGAGCATTTGCACCTCACTTTCACTGGGGTGAGAGGCAGGAAGCAGCTGTACCTGAGATGTCACAGTAAACSGTCTGTTGATAGACTCGGGCTTCTCGAGGCTTAAAGAACACATTGATTTCAGCCGAACAATTCGGCCTGACCTCTCCCTCCTAAAGCAGAAGGAGACAGCAAAACATTTATCTTCAAAGATCACATTTCTTGTTTTCAACCACAGCCCTGTAAGCCTTTATTTAGTGCATCAGTGACAAGCAAGGAGTGAGCAACACTTATCAACAACACTGATAACAGAGTTTGGAAGCTTTAGTCAGGCTCCCATCCCTGCCAGGGCCCCGCAGAAATTATTTTTTCAACCAGCTCT